AAACTTAGTGGCTGAGCTGTATATGCCACCTGAAATGTTTCCTTCTGTGGTGGAAGAACTTCAATGAATGGTATTGATTGCAATAGTCACAGGCCACAGCTGGATGAAGCCAAGAAAAATCGACTAATATGGCGGGAGAAAGGAGAGCAAAACATCTTACCATTTTGATTATTTTTTAGACGACCTTGCCGTCAAACATCTTATTTGATTCAGGACTCGAATGGATTTGCAGAATCAATTTGGTAGAGAATAGGAGAGTCAGAGTGTATATGTATCAATTTTGTCATCAAACGAGCCCACTAATCAGCTAAGGGACTCTGTTGATTTACTTCCTAGACTCCTAGTCATCCCTGCTGTCACTCATCTACATTTTGATATATGTTTAGCACTTTTATTTACTTACCTCCCCAGTCCATATAAAACTAACAACATGGAGAACCGATTCCTTACTGATAAACTTAGAAATCAACGACTACCAACTTTTACGAGCATATTCAACAAAATTGACTAACGGGGCCAGCCAATGAAACTTGAGTATTAAATCTACACGAAAAAATAAATGACCGACCAAAACAGAGCATATTCATAAATTGAGCGCCTAACTGGTAAAAAAATCTCAACTTTCTCTCTTTAATTCGGCCTGTCTGATATTGTATCTGTATTAGGTGCCCAAATAGACGAGTGACCAAAACAGAGTTTAAGGTTCATGCCTTTTCAAAAGGAATAATTTCTAGTGCATAAAAGAAATGGAAAAAAAAAATTAGTGCATGTTTGTTACATCGAATGAACAGACCAATTTTGATTTCATTTTCTTCTTCAATCCAACATACCAAACTCGGGAAAATCAGCAATTTGAAACACAACTAAACTAGATGTATATCGTCAATTTTGAAACACAACTAGCAAAGAGAAAAGTATATAAAATATATGGTTTTCAGAAATCTCTATTCTACATTCTTTGTTCACGGAATAGCATGAAATTAGTTTACAACAGGAATACCTCTTGGCTCTCGCAAACTACAGCAGCAAGTACAATCAATCAATGCATTCTTCTCTTGCTCAAACACTAGAACCTCTTTGAAAATCTTATTTTAGTAGAAAGTTACTCGGCTAATAATGATGTAACACTCAATTACCTCCACAAGATCAAAGAATCAGTGATGGTGTTTCATTCCTTTGCAGCCCCATCCTCTGGTGGGGCAGCATTTCCATCTATAAATAGAGAAAAAGATAGGGTTAAACCTTTAAAAAAATTATGATAATAAGTTATACAAAGCTTGGCATTTGCAAGAAAAAACAAGGGCTTCAAGTCTTAATGTGTTTTGCCATGTAGTGAATATTTCTTAAGCATAACTTTCTCGAGCCAAAGTCAAACTGCAGAAACAAGACAAGAACAATTCTAGGAGCATGTTCAGCTAATCTTAAAAAGCTTAATTGTAAGTAAATAAGAATCTTAAAAAGTTTAATAGTAAGTAAATAAGCAAGTTTTAAAATACATAATGTCTTCATTGGAGAAAGTTGGAAATAAATCCTGTTTTTTGACACTAAGATAAGGAGAAGAAAGTGACTTCTTGTTTTTTGCTTATCCAAACAAGTAAAATAATTAAGCATCTACATATGGTAACTCTGAAAATTTTAATAAAAAACCACTTATACCTTCACCTTCTGCGGGAGCACACAGAGATTTGCGGTATCGTGTTTGCTGTTGCGTCGGCTAGAATATCAAATGCAAAATGACAAATTCTAAAATTAATTAGAGGCATAGAAAATATGTAAATAGATGAACCTGTGTCAAGGTCAACACCAAATGAATGCTAAAAAGTTAGGTGAAAAGAGTGGAGTAACAATTACTACAACATACTGTATTAGAAATTTATTCTTCAAATGAATCATAGTCATTTATTTAATCAAGGCCAGACAGAAGCATATCATTTTCGTTTTTATCTCAGCTAGAAAAGAGGATGTGGTTTCTATTTTTTCAAAGGGCTATTGCTTCCAAGCTCCAGGAAAAATTGAAGAATTTCTAGGGAATCCTATATCAATGATTGGCTGCTGACAATGGGTTTTGGGAATCTCAGCAACAATGTCATTCATTCTTACTCTGCTTCTCCAAGGAGGATTTGAAATCCTGGGAATAAAACTTTAAATGCAGTGCAAATATCATATAAATGAGTCACATTATGGATAAAATATTAAATTCAGTTTAATTATTTACTCTTTCTAAAATTGAACATAATGCAAAAACATAGAGCGTTTAGACCCACCCGTGCATACCAGTATTTTCATTTCTTGCATCTGAATAATAATGCTTTCTCTGTCAGTTGAAAACTATCCTTATTATTTTGAGATTTATCAAATGGATGCCCACTTGCCAAAATAAATTCATTCTCCCCAAACTACCAGCATCATTTCTTTGTCATAATTATCCATTAACTTCTTGCCTGATTTTTACAGTGCAAGCAGGCCATTTATGACAGCAAGATTCTAGGAGCTTGTGCAAACAGTTCCCACTTTCAACCCCTTTATGAAAACTTGTCCATGGTAAATGGCCTGGGTGGGGTGACGGGTGGTCAACTCAATTTGATACTGGAGGAATAAAGGGCAAGTCACTATAACGTTCATACATCTCAAGATTCATATTAAAATATGCAACTTAGATCTTGCTACAACCATATTTGCTCTTCGAGTAATCTCGTGTGTGCATTATACTTGTCTGTTATTTTTCACGGTCCAGAGGTTTCAAACAAGACCGGTGATTGAACACACCGCTACATGAAATATTTGAGCTGATACATTGTGAATCAAATATAATAACTTCATAGATTCGCTAAGTTTTGTGTACAGTAAATATTAATGGTAACTTACATTAGTATATGAATCCCACATATAAGTAGTTGGTCACAAAAGAAAAAAAAAATTGCATTTACCTGTAACTTTGGCCGCAGAGCCTCAAGTGGTCCTTTCGGTTTCTCTATACCTTGCTGCGATAATATAACAGAATATTAGGCATGATTTATAAATACTACTATAAACTTACAGGATGCACAAAATGCACAAGGTTTAAATGAGTACTTTTCCCAGGGCCCAATCAGCAGAATCAAAATAGGCTCTTTCATGATCCTGACATCAAATGTAGAGGTTTGAGAAAGGATATCCTTCAAATTTTCTAAACAGGCACTACTTAAACTAAAATATGCAAGAAAGGTACGAGAATACCTTTGAAATTAGTGGTGGTTTCTTCGGCATTATTCCTCCATATTTCTTCTTAACAGCTTCCTCCTGCAAGAAAGAAAAAACATGTGATCAATGCAATGGCACATATGACTAGAAAATATAACCAGAGAAAAGAACGGATTTGAACACAACTTCCTGTTGAGTTGATGGCATTGGCTTGCTAGAGTCCTCCATAAAATCTTCTGTTTGCGCATTGACTTCCTCGGTTCCCGACATTTTCCTAGGACCAACCTTATCAACAAAACCTGCACGTGACCTTTAAAATCACTATTCACTGAAGGATGGAAAGAAATAATATCTGACTACTTTAGCGAAATAGAAATTAACATATAGACAAATTGTTTCAAATCCATAGCCAAAGTTGTCATTTCAACCTTTTATCAGGGTCTCTTCCATGACATCAAGGGAAAATCACAAAACTCTGATGCATTGACGCCGACGTGCGATTTTTCAAAAAAGTAATTGCTCAATAGTACACAACTTTTTAGAACCTGAACCTATCTCTATACCTATAAACATTTTCATTGATCTATGAAGCTGTAAAATTTAATAAATTCTAGTCTGCATATGATTTTCCAGCTATGAATAAAATGGGGATCAACCATAAAGAACAAATAAGATAATTTGCAGACTCGAAGTAATTGGAGAAGATTATAACAATCAAGTCCAACAGCATTAATTAGAGTATTATATGCATTCCCAAAATGAAAATTCTAGCGTCAATAATAAAAAAAACTTGCACGCAGAATTAAACCACATATTGTAAAACCCAACTTTAAAATTTCAACTACAATATCCAACAACTAGTGTATTGTTACGGATCGTGGGAGAACAATAAGCTAGCCATCCAGGTTGGAGAGCCCAACTCCATATAAACCCACATGTATAAGTAATGTAACATTACCAATTTACCATGACATGTATAAGATCAATTCATAAATTTAAATATTTCTGTCATTTCTTTCACTAAATTCTTGATGACCCAGATCCTAACATATCAAAATAAAACTATCACAACAATCTGAAAGCCGTTTCAAAGAATCTAGATTGTTTAAGCAACTTGAAGAATATGTTATTTGCCCTCTCGTTCGACCCCAACAGATATAAATAAACAAATAATAGGAAATTTAATCTCGTATAAACAACATATATACATACAAACATGCAGAAGCACCATTAATCTAATCGATGAGCAGATAAGGATCTCAGAATTCTAACAGAAAAAATATGAATC